GGCCAGAGCACTCAGAGCATCCAGAGCTTACTGGGAGACAAGTGGGAGACAAGTCTGAAATCATGCGGCCAGAGCACTCAGAGCATCCAGAGTCTTATTGGGAGACAAGCGGGAGACAAATGGGAGACAAAGCGGCCAGGAACACAAGCCCGGAGACAAACTCAAAATCAGCCGGCCCGAACATGCACCCCTTTAAAAGGAGTAAGAACCCCTCACAGGTAAACCTGTTTGGGGAACAATGGAATTTGGAACCTCAAAAGACAGGAGCATTGGAAGCATGTCGTTTTTTCTCGTTTTTAGATCGTCCGAGTTGGTCAGATCTAGGTCAAACCAAGATGAACCAAACTTTTTGCCAATATGAGAGCTTTCAATGACCTGGACCCCCAAGGGGTGGTTAATATAAACACCCCTTGACCTCTTTACGGGGCTATTGATGGACACCGAAGTGGCCCATGTTTTCCCACTCCAACTTTGGGTCATATCGATGACTGAAGCCCGACAGGACTCTTAAAAGGGGCCGTCTCAGACCACAACGCGACCATCGGCGTCCGGCCGTGCCCGAGCACCCGCACGGCCCGCGCCAGGAGTTTCGCTACCAAAGTCCTGGATGGGAAGTTCCAAGGGAGGCGAGGACGAAGGTTTCGTTGGAGGGGGGTGCTGAAGTGTGTGCGATCCAGGTTTGCACCAAGTTTAAGAGTGTCCTCAGAAGTTTGCGGCAAGTTGACATTCTTAGTCTGGAGACTGGAGGGGGTTACTCGTGTGACTAAGAATGTCAAAGGAGTCAAGGTTTGCGGCTGGACAAGACATGCCGTCCGCCCGATATTGCTTGCTGTGTTTTCTTTTTAAAACACGTGGATGATCGTATGAGGCTCCTTACCTTTTTCCTTGTTGAAGACCGCAAGGCCCGGCTGCAAGGCCCGGGTGGTTTTAAGACCGCGCTGCATCGAGAATGCGCAGAGCGAAACCAGGGTCAACGACGGAGGAATGAGGCTTGAGGTCTCGATGCCAGGTCCTTTGCTGGCGAAACCATGGTCCTTCTGGTTTTAGACACACCTGGCGAACCTTCTCACGAGTTTTGGACGGTTTGAGAGCAGGAGCTCCGCTACGACTGGACGGAGAACGCCGAGCTTTATGAGCTTCGTTGGTGGTGGGGGACTGAGAGAGCGGTGGGGGACCGAGAGGGGACCAAACCAACTAAAGGAAGGTGTCAGTCAGGGAGTGACAAGTGTTTTTGGAGTAGAGACCATCCAAGGTTTTCTTCTATCAAAAAGAGGTCTGGTCTGTTTGTGTTAATAGGCTCTAAGAAGCTCTAAGTATAGAGGTTGCTTGGCTGCTAGGTCCGGTGTAGCAGGTGCGAAGCAATCTGCAAACCAGACGTGGACAGTGACGCTTGATCGCTTGATTGACAGGTCCCATTACTTGTTCACGGCTACTCGTTTCTTGAATGCCATACTGTAGGGTGGGATTCTGCTGGCACTGGATGGGTTTCCTTTGCACCTCTCAAATATCGAACAGAATAGTCCTTTGGGATCTGGGCATGTCCCCCCCGTTGCCAGCAGCTGGACATGCCCGCAAAGGACGTCTTCCTTTTTTCCCGGTGGGGGTCATTCGCAGGCGAAGCTCGAAGAAGCAACGCAGCAACCATTTTGGCGTCGATGTTTGTTACTTCTGTGGTGTCTTGGGTCACTTCTGCTTCATTTTGGTATCGTTTTGTATCGCACACTTGCTGCATCTTTCTGCGTCAGGTTTTCCTGGGACGGGAAAAAAACGACATCTTTTCAGGGTCCAGGTATGAGCGGTGTGGGTCAAAACCCCACGGTGTCAACCTTCCATGGATTGTAGGATGAGGTATTGACCCACACCCCACCGTTCGTTGGATGTCTCGTTTGCGGAGGCTTTTCGTCCATCTTCCGGGGCACTACTCACTAGCTCCAACCGTTCGGTCCCCGCTCCGCTGACGGTTCACACCACGGGCGGGCGGGTTTGGGCGCGGAGCTGAACGGCCCAAAACAAAGGACGTGACGTGACCTGGAGCCATGAGCCAAAGACTGCAAGACCCCCCGGCAAGACCTTGATCCGGAAGGACATCCCGGAAGACTCCGAAAAAACACCTCTGAGTAGACTCATAGCTTGCCGCGATGCGCTCCACTCGTGGTGGCCTGGAATTGATGGCAGCGGTGCTGTTGGCTGGGATGCCCAGGGATGAGATGAGGACGAAATGAGGCGCAAGGTGCATGGAGTCTTCAATGGGAGTCTTTCCAACAAAAGGTCCTTTTTCAGGAACCGTCATACCGTCCTTTCAGGATCTGTTGCATGGAACGACTTGACGTCATGCTTCAGATCTCTTCAGATGAGTCCCAGGTGGCAAGTGCCGCGCCCTTGGCGCCCACCTGGCCGGGACGCCTGGGGCCGAGTGCGCTGGGACGGGCCGAAGCCGCGAGCTCCTCGAAGCAACGGCCCAGGCTGTGCCCGATGAAACCGTCCGGGCATCAGGCGGCCGGCGCGAATTGCGGAAGTGAAGAAAGCGCGTGAATTCGCGGTGACTGATTGCCTCGAGTGACAGTCAGCCTCTACAAGCGACCTGGTTTGGGACCTGATGACACATGGGATTTATCAAAAGGGGAATAAGGCAAATGACTTGGGAATGTGTGAGTTCCTGTGTATGTTTTCCAAATCCCATGCCATCCGAAGGTAGTATATAACATTATAACAAACAAGAAAGGATTATGGTGGTGCCCCAAATGGCGCCAAAAGGTATATATAGTTATATACTTACATCAGAACGATTATGTTTAGACTGCTTGTGAAGCTGTGTTTTTATGTTCGACGCTGCAGGTACATAGCACCATAATGCACCATACCTCCATTTTGCCCCTTGCACCGCTGGTGGAAGCGAAGGACCTTGACGTGGATACAGACGAATCTGTTCTTGAACAGCTGCACCCACTTGTGGCATCCACATGTGGTGTGGTGCTGTTGTGCTACAGAAATGTCAATTCTACACATTTCAGTCATTGGATACTGGCAATCAAGTCTCAGAAATGCCGGTTGAAAGTCTTGGTGGTCTACTCAGTTTGCATCTACACAATATATCAGTACATCTTAAAAAGCAAGACCAACCTGCCCACCAAAGCATATTTTTTGTTCCCATTTCGTATATTTTGCTGTCTTTGGACCCCACGGTGTTTTTATGACAGTTATATTTTAATTCTTCACACCAACAGCGGTGCATGGAAGGGCTGCAGTCAGTGAAACAACCGCCCACCGTAATTCGAGACATCGAAAGGACTTCAACCTGCTAGGTCACCACTAATTCCTGTGGGAAGGGCTGCACCCTTGCACTTGGCCGCACTTGACCCGTCGTTTAACTTCAACATCCTGGCTCCCTGGCGACCTGGCTGCCGAACCCATCGCCAGGTGCGACCGACCGCGCGGCCCGCGCCGCCGGCCTCGGAGACTTTCGGGATCGGCCGCGGTGGATCCGCCTGGTCCGCGGCCGGGGGCCTCGTGCGACTGGGGGGGCGGAGTCGTTTGGTCCCACCTGCCTTTCCTCCGGGGGTGGGGTCCAGCTGCCTCCGGCAGGATGTTGGGGAAGTTTGGTTGGGAAAGCAGAAGCTTTGGTGCAGTACATACTCGGGGTCGCAGGCGGACTTCAGTCGACGCCAGCCACCGATCTCACCGATGTGGTCCGGCTTGGCCGATGGATGACATGGGGGCCAGCCCAGGGAATGCAGGTACCACGATGTCGCTGGTGACCAATGGTTTCAAAGACTAGAACCATAGACCTATACTATACCTAGCGCTTCCTGTCCCGGTGCCCTGTCTGGAGACCTGTTTACGTAGTGTGGAGATATCCAGCCAGGTGACCCCGAACGGAAGCAGCTGGTAGAAACCGCTGATTCCTTGTATTGTGGCTGCTTGGGATCCACTGGCTGTGTGGGATCCACCTGGCTACGACGAAACCCAGCATGGGATGGGTCTTTTGGAACACATTAACCCATGTGGGGCTGAGTTTGTTGTACCAGTAGGGCCTAAACTTCCCTGCCAGTAGTGCCGTAGGTTCCTTTCCAGTTTGAGAGCATCATTACCATCTTGAAAAAGCACCAGCATGACACATCACTTGGGGTGTGAGTCATGCTGGTCTTGGATGGAGAAGCTTCCTCACCGACATGGCACTACCGATACGGCAGAACGTCTCGACCCTTGGATCATCTTGGATCCACTGTGGACTGTTCTCTGTGCTCGCCAGCTTGCGCTGGCTCAGTACCCGCTCGCGCAAGCGCAGTACCTCTGGTGGTTTCAGGCACCGCTCGCTCGCTCAGACAGAGGGTCCCGACCGGTGCTGTGGACCGGTCCGATGGAGGTGGAGAAACCCAACGCGACTCGCCACGACAAAGCCCGAGCTCGCTGTGATGGTCGCGGATCACGCCACGGATCTGTGATGAGGCCACGGGTGTTCGGACTCATGGAACGCGTCCTCGGACTCATGGAGCCACGGTTCCGAACGCAGGTCAGGGCAAACTCTTCAAATCTTGACCAAGACACTGAAGAAATTGGCTAGGGAGGACATGAGTTCAAGGCCAAGGTGATCCTAATGAGACAGCAGAGCCGGAACTGCTGAAGATAAATGTGAAGATACATTTTGTAGTGAAAAGCGCGCAGCTGCTTCCAGAACCACAGGATTGGATGTCAGAGGTGCTCATTCAATCCGCTTCGTACAGGCTCAGCCAATTCATGTTGCAGCTACTGTATCTATGGCCTCTGGGAGGTTGTAACTGACACAGATGCAGCTGCTCCACGTGGCCGTCACGTGGCCGTCACGTGGCCGTCACGTGGCGGTGTGGAGCTTGTGGCCGTGTGGAGCCGGTGGAGCCAACACCGGCCCAGCGGTCCGGCTTGGGATGAGAGGTGAACTTGGCTTGGCTTGCATGGCGTGTAGATTTTACAAACGATCAGCTGGTCTTTGGACGCGAACAAATCGAACACAGAGTGATCCGTTGTGGAACAGCCGAAGCCCCGCCCACTGCGCAGCCGAAGCTGCGGACCCAAACTGCTAGACCATGCACTGTCGGCCCCGAAGAGCTGAAGGGAGGGGGCCAAAACGGCAAACATCGGCCAACGCCGCCGTTCGAGCTGGGATTCTCTTTTTTTTTTGCGGACCGGTGAAAGTCCAAGGTTTCTCAAAGCCAACAAGACCAAGTCCACTTTGCGTGTTTTCAGATGTGTCAAGCTTTGAGACATTCTTGAAGAATATTTTGAGAGACATTCTTGAAGTCCTGACTCACTTGCCGTCCCAAACATGCCTCAGATATGTAGAGACCGCGGTCCCTGTGGTGCCTCACCATCTCCGCTCTCCGCGCCGTTCCGCGGTGAACCGCTCCCCTCGACTTCCAAGGCGCTTCTGTCCACGGTGGCAGCGCTACTGCTGGGCTGGAACCAAGCAGTCCCTGCCTCGGCCTACAACGCCATGGCGGACTCCAAGGCTGGAGGGGATGGGACGACGCCCCAAACCGGAGTCGGGGCGTCTTTCGGTGTGTTCGAAGGATGGGTGGGAGCTTGGACACCTGCGCCCCTGTTGTGTTTTCGATGACTTGGCGTTTTTGGAACGTTGAGCCTGACGGTGTTAGGCCATGGACTGAAGCGTTTTTCAGAAATGATGGCCACGGAACACTGTTTCGAAGGAAGACAATGGAACACATTGGTTCTCGTTGTCACTCAATCTCCTTTCTAGGCGCTGATGAATAGGGGTCAATCTCAAGCTTTTCTGGCCTGGAGATTGCCAACGTTGGCTTTTCCTGGCAGGCCATGGTGTTTTCTTGTTCCTTTTAGAGGCGCCCGGTCGAAGACGCGAACGCTGCGTGACCTGAGGTCATGGCCGGTGGTGCATCCACCACCGGCAAGAACAGTGGTTCCAACAAGAACATCACCCGAGGTGCGTGGCTGAATAGCATTCGACCCGGATGATCCCATTTTTCTGGTCAATGGAAACTCCTGGAGGGGGCTGGAGGGGGGACCTTCAGGCTGGCGGAAGATGACCAGAGTCGGCCGAAGATGGATCTTGGAATATATCATTTGTAGGAGGTGGATGGCTTTCGTCTTGGTATCCAAAGAAAGTACATGTTTATGGATTTATGATATGATGATTTATGGAGATATCCACCATGCTTTGAGGTGACTGGCAACCCACAAGCCATCTTGCGATCAAGTGTGTTCTCCGTCTGTGAATGTTTCATGACGTTTCTGGGGTCTCATGTGACGTCTCTCCCACAGCTTCTACTTGTCCGCAAGAAGGACTTGCCCAGAAACCCGTTTTTGCGGCCGCAAAAGCAGCAAGAACACCCACAGCAAAAGCATGGCCTCGACCCCAGACCCTCCGCCCGCCTTGTTCGTGCGATCCACCCGATCCCGGTTGTTCCCGGTGGTTCCCGGTTCGGTACGACTGGACCGGTGGAACACACGGGCACCATCACCATCGAAAGTTTTGGAACACATCACCATCGAAAAGAGGGTGGAAGTCAATTCCACGTGGATGGAATAGGCTCATGTGGATCGCGAGATTTTGCTTGCCAGATGGCAGGTGTGGACTTGACCCGAGCCGACTACTCAGGGAAGAGCCTCGGCTTAATCCCAAGAACGATTAGAATCAGAAGAATGGACCGGCAAAATGGGATCCAAGAGAGGTGTCAAACTGCCCAAAGGGGTGAGCTTTCCTGGCAAAGTGGGTTTTCTGGAGACACCGGCAGTCTCATTAGGGTGGGAGATAATGGCCTGCTCCACCAAGAAGAGGCTCCTGCCAGGCCATTCAGACTTGGTGTTGCCAGGTGCTATATAGTATAGTTTTAGACGGTTTTTGGAATTATAATTGTTCTATGATTGACAGCAAAAATCTAGGTCTTGACACGGTACGCTTGATAGTCTCCGGCAGGACTGTGTTCAATCCAGCTTAATCCAATAGCTCGAAGCGGCGACCTGAGGAAGGTGGTTGGGGTCTCCTTTCAGCAGTCCATCGTACGCGAAGGGAAGTTTGTGCCTGGGATCGCAGGATGGACGCTCCAGGATGGATGGATACGCGTCTTTTTCGGGATCTGGGATGGAGCAGCGTTGTGTTGGGGTGCAGTCGGCAGTCGTTGGGGGTGGAACAGAATCCACCAGAATCCGAACATTTCTATTTTAAAGCACTTGTAGGCCCTATTTAGTAACAAGAAACTATTAGGTTGGAGGCCATGGCTACTAGGTTGGAGGCCATTACTAGTAACAAGAAGCTAGAGAGCATGACGGAGTCTGTCCGGTCCGGAAGCATAGAGCACGAAGCATGGAGCACGAACGCAGCTGGCTTCACGTGAGGGTGGCTTCAGCTGCCTTGGAAAGGATGTGGAGCTGTGGAGCTGTCTGTGGTCGGTTCCCGTACGGTGGCATTACCCTAGCCAGTCCGGTGTCACAACCTCTCCTGCCTTCACATCCTTTTTTTGCAGGTGGTACAACTGATGCGCAACGTCCATCAAGTCAATCTAGTAGGCTGGCAGTGAGTTCGCTGGGGACTTCGGTGTCTTTGATGTGTAAAGCTGGAGACCCCTGGTTCCAGGTGATCTTTCCCAGTGGCGGTCACTCGCTTTTGGTCCACGGATTTGGCCCGCCCCTCTAGGTGAACGCCGATGTCCAGAGCTCGAGCTTCTTCGATGCGGACGGGTTGCCGGGTGGAGGAGGGTGGAAGGCAGAGGAATCCGAGCCACGAGAAGTTCGGTTGAAAGGAGAGGAGCCCATCCGGGATGGACTTTGTACCGTTTTAATCGACGAAAGAATAGGAACCTTGCTCCAGGCCATGAAGAAAACATCCTTCTCCCTCCAGGCCCGCTTTTCGTGTACCGGGAATGTGCTTGTTTGCGGGTTTGGATCACATCTACGTTCCTTGATCCAGAAATCCTCAAAGTTCTTCGGATCTTGTGCCTTGTTGTCTCAACTCCTGCGAACAAAGCCACAGTGCTGGAGAGGACGAGTGTTCATAATATCCATACACTCCAGGTATGCCATATATTTGCCTACAATGGGGTGGTTGACCTGTGGTCAATGTTGGCACATATTCCAAGCCCATCCATGGAGTGTCTGGGTCTATGGAACAGGAGATCTCTTAAACGATTCCGCAAAACCCGTGTCTCCACACTCCACACCCGTCATCCCGGTCGGGTTCAACCGCGTTGTCCAGTTGCTACCGGACAACCGATGACAAACGCCATTGGACGTTGAGGGCTGAATTGATGAGCAACCAAACGCACCCAGATTTGACCCATCCGAGGATTCCGAGGATTTGCTGGTGCAGATCTTTTGTCTTCTGAACTTCAGTGAACCCCTGTGTTGCAAATTTCGATGAGAGGATTTTGAGAAGACAACCATCCAAGCACATGCCACCACTGCCTTCAGCAGGAAGATCACCGCACTTTTTGAAGGACGTTTGTCGCCATTTTCAACCCAGACCCAGTTCGGGCATGTTTTCTTGGTGGGTTTTCTTCCTGCTTTCAACTCACCATTTTCCACCCACCCAGTTCGTTGGTTTTTCTTTTTCAACTCAGTCCTTTGGGACCCCGGGCACCGGGACCCGCGGTGTCCCCCCGTCGCGTTTGGAGTGAACCAACCCCAAACCCACGGAGATGGGCAGGACTTGGCCAATGCCGACTTCACGGGGGCGAACTTGAACCAGGTGGCCGAGTTCGCCGAGTTCGGGGCCCGACGAAGCGGTCCGGTGAAGCGATCCGGTGAAGCCGAGGTCTGAAGTTCGGGGAGCAAGCATGGATTCACCAGCAAGGAGGAGATGTTTTGCGACCAGCAAGGAATGAGGTTGAAAGCCGTTGATCTAAGCAATGAACTGGAACTCATGTATATAAACTTTTGGATTCCGTAGGCAAAAGGAAGCTGATGGTTTCGAACCACAGACAGCTCCAAATGAAATGACTTGTAGCCCATGCGAATCGCATTCTTCGCATCTGGACGCTCCGGACGCGACAGGGATGGCACGATAGGAGTTGGTCGTCCTACACTCCCAATCAGAGAAGTGGATGGCATGGCACCTGGAAAGACATCCTCTACAAACTGAGGGGTGCACAGTGAACTTCATTTCCAATGGGGAGTTGGAGGGAGGGTAGGTTCTAAGCTTTGTACAAGTTTTGCGCAGCTTGTCAGGGAACCTTTCGAGATTATTCTTGGGACCCAAAAAGGTTTCATGTCTACATTCTTCTCCAAAAAAGACCAAAGCCTCAAGTCTGGTTTTCCTCTTCTGCAGAATCCATCGACCGTGAGGTGAACTTCGAACTGGCTCGTTTGTCCGGAGCCATCTTGGACAATGCTGTGGCCACGGAGATGTATGCAGCCTGACGAAAAGAGGGTGGGTGGGATCTGAGGAAAAGTTTTTGGGCGCGGCACCAGAACGGATGGATTTGCCGGATTTGTCCAACGAGAACTCTTTGAATGGCCGGGAGATGAGATGTCCAGTTTCCAGAGTCGTGCGTCTGAGAGATCGCATATACTTCTTGGTTGACAGAGATGCGTTCCGAAGACTCATCCCAGATTGGTCGCGAAAAAAGAACATCCACAGCTCCCTGGTCCCTCTGCAGTGCCTATGACTATGATGTTCACCTAGACTTGCTCTTTGATTCGACCGGAACATCGAAAAACCACCGGGTCCTCGTTATCAACCGGATCCTTAAGGCCGGAGGAATGAGACCGGTGGTGCGAACTCCGCCTGGTCCCTTGAACCTCCAGAAAAAGAGGTCTAGTCCTCCTGGTGCTGCTGGTGCTGCTGGTGGGTGCCTTATTTTTTTTGGGGGGGATGCCAAGGCACCAAACTTGGGACTTGGAGGAGTTAAGACACTCAGCTGGGTTTAGTTGGATCCAGATTGAGCGATCAGGAGCTATACATGAAGCTGGGACCATGCACCACCTGACCCGAAGGACCCCAAGAACCGGACACCGCACTCGGAGAGCAAGCGCGATCGCAAGTCGCGGACCTTCCGGAGGACTTGTGGCCACTGTTCGGTAGGGGTAGCCACAGGGTTGTGAGTTCACAAGGCCCCAATGATTCAATGACCTTTCAGCCTTTCGGGCACCCTGGGGGTGGGGAGCGCACGAAATCTCTCCCTCGCATGCCTCAGGTCAATGGGACGACCAAAATGGATGTGCCTGGGTTGAAAGTGACTGGAACATTGGGCCTCGCAAAACTGCTCGATGGCAACGGTGTTGGTGAACATGCATCGTTGGGTCTGACAGAACACCTGGCGAGGTTTGTTCTTCCTTGCAGAGATGGTGTTCTTGAGCCTTTGACTTTCATGATGTTTCAGGATTTTTCTGCACCATGCCATGCCATGCGCCTTTTTATGGTTTGGACCGAAAGCACCTCTTCAGCGTTGCCACGCTCCCCGGAAGCCTCCTCTGCTCGCACGACGCCATCGCCTGCCTCAGTTGATCGAGGTGAAGAGCATCGACGGAGCGGATTTCACGGACACGATTTTCCGGCCGCTCGGAGGGTCGAGGGAAAGGGTTCTGGGTACCGTAGGATGGTCACAAAGAGTACTTCAGGTGAAGACAGGTGAAGACAGGTCAAAGGCGATATGTTTCGTTTCTATATTTTCTATGCTGTAGTTGTCAGATACATTGCTTGCCTGTCCCCCTGCACCTGTGCTCACGAGTTCGTACAGGTGCTCGACGTGCTCGATACTCAGCACTAGTTCAAAATTTCTAAGTCGTTTGAAGATGGAGTTGCACTAGGAATACGGTGTCACGATGTGTTACCGTACCTATGGAGTCGGGTGAACGGAACCTTCTGCAACGTGCGCAGAGCGTTCCGGGGTGCCAACAAAGCACATGAAGAAGTGACTGTGAGGCCACTGTGAGGCCTACTATATTTCTTGGCATGGTGAAAGGGCATTGTAGTCAATCTCGAGAAGGAGTGGGTCCAAAGACCAAACCCACCAGCCTATGACACTCAAAACCCCCCAAGGACCCTCCGGCCACGCACAGACCCTCCGGCGGCACCGTCTTTGGACCGCGTCGCCGACCGCGTCGCCGACCTGCGAGACCGGCGAGGCAAGATCAGGTGAACTATTTGTGTGAGATCGCGAAAGGAACCAACCCAACGACCAAAGTGTCGACCAGGGATTCGCTGGGTTGCGCCGAGAAATGAGGGAATCTGGAATCCTGGATGGTGGGTTCAGATATTTTGATGTTGTAGCTTTACGGAAGGATTGAACCCACTGACTAATATCCTTCAGTGAGTTGAAACCACCAACCAGTGAAATATGCAGTGCAACTCTTCAGGCAGCTTGCCGCTCTCTTCTTGGCACTCGGGTCCCGTGTGGATTCCCGGTAGAAACAAGCTTGACCAAGCACGACCTTGGTTCGAAAGAAGATGGACGAGATTTCCTCGTTTGTTGGGGCAAACCGTTACCAGAGGATCTCCAGAAGATGATGATCCTCTGAGCGAGTTGGGCACGATGGTGTTACACTTGAGATCGCCCTGTGCCGCGTGTCAGACGTGCCACGCAAACGCAAAAGACGCTGACCTCTCGCGAGGTCGTATGATATAATTGTTCATCCAGTCCATTCATCACAGGGACGGCAACTGAGTTCGGGCTTGCTGTCAGGATACCCTATCAACATTTCGGATGATCCAGGTTTGCGGTGGTCATCGGTTTTTTTCGTGGGATCTCCAATCTCCAGGGGGGGGTGGAAGAAACTATCTTTTTTTGAGATTGACTCGGAAGAACCTGAAAAGACCCCGGAACCACCTGGTGGAACAAACCTTGGAACCGTTGCCACCAGACTTGTGTGAACAGCTGTCTGAAGAGCAGTGGGATGTTTATATATTTAGATCTCCATCTACCATCAACAGTGAACTACTAAAGATACATAGATTATACTGCAGGAACACAGGCAAAAGATGGCAAAAGCGTGGGTATGCCAAACCTATACGGTTGACAGGGTGTTCTCAATACTTACCACCATTCAAGTAGCCTTTACTCTGTTCAACAAACATGGAAGTGAAGATTTACTACCTTTGTCGAGGGATATCGGATATAATCTTCCCAAAGAAAAACATCACAGGGCACCATAGGGCACCAACAGTGGCACCTTGCTCTCTCGATCAAAGACTCTATTCTTTAGACCTCTCCGGTCGTGGAGCAAAGATCGAAGGCGGCCGTGGGACTGCAGGACGGAGGGAAGGCTTGGCAGTGGGCTGTCCTTGTGGATGACCTCGAACAGAAACGACCCAAGCCTTGGGCGACCGCGGGCAGTGGAACTCTTCAGTCACGATTTGTGGATGAATTCATGCAGATGCAAAAAAGAAAGAAACAGCACCCGGTCATAACAGGACCCTGATGAAGCCATAAAAGATCCAGTTGGGATATGAGGCACCCAACTGCAGCTGCCTTTGACGCCCTCCTCTTTGCGTGGGAGCAATGAGTATATTAATATCCCTCCAATCGAGAAGCAAGGAACCTGAAGTGAGTCGGACACCGTTTCAAGAGGGATTTGAGAGGAGACTCCTCTTCTTTTTGCTCCCCCCCGGCGAATTTGCTGATATTCCACCCAAGTTCACTTGAAGCCTTTCGGAGTCGGGAAAACTTCACCCAACCAGATGTCCAAACCAAAAACGACCTCCATCGCTATACCAATCGCTCACCACGACCTTCCTTCGATTGGTCCACCACGATCGGTCCAGGCGGTGGTTGGGCGCCGACCGATCGGATGTTCAGGTCCTCTCTGACGGATTTCGCCCAATCGACGCTGAGCTGCAGGGGATGGGACCGCGGTTTGAGCGGATGGGACGTAGAGACGAGTCTGACACGAGTTATTGGGGCGAGGATTTCCTCATTCCTTCATGGCTGTCATGGCTAAGAGAGGAGACCATTCACACTTAAATGATCTGAAATGGCTGAAAGGATGATTTCCCAATAATCCGCCGCGTCTTGTTTCTCCTTGGAAGCCATGATCTGCACTGACTAGACCTGCCCCTGGGTGCCTTTTCCGTACGTAGAGCATGATTTATGCTGGCACCGTGACATGGTGAAACATGTGTGACCAGGGCAGCTCCCGACATGACGCAAGACAGCGCGTCTGCTTGTCCTGTCCAATGTCAACCACGGAAGGTCTGAAGACCCCTGTCAGGCCTGTCACGGGTGGAGAACGCCCACACCTCATGGAAAGTGTCTGGACGGAGTCTTCCATGCAGGACGTGAATGAAGGGAGGTTCCCTCCCTAGAATTCCTGGTCCGCCGCTGGTCAAGAGCAACATCTCCATCTCCTTATGCTCAGGGAGGACTCTGGATGTTCCAGCCCATTTTCGGGCTAAAGATGCCAGGCGTCTTTCTTTTCACCGCGCCATGGATTCCAGAGGCTACACTCAACACTCCGAGGAACACTAACATGAAAGTAGATGGCACCACTTGTTTGTAGAGGAACTTGGTCATCCAAGGGGCCATGCCATCCACTTCCATGATGGTTTCAGGAATAGTGTATACCAGGACCTTCAACGTGACCTCTTTGGGGTCTGTTTAAGTGACCTGCGCAGGGACAAAGTGGTCTCATCCTGGGATCTCAAGTTCGGTCCTTTTTCAAGATGCTGTCGTTTGCTGTGTGACGTGTCCCCTGCGCAGCAACAGTCTAAGCATCACCCCTTTAGTAACTTAGGCATGCCCTTATGTTCACGTGACGGAGAGTCTTCTAGCGGAGCATAGCGGAGCCCATCGTCATTCCACACCGGGGTTTGTTTCGTCGCACGGGAGGCTCACAATGTGACAGCCGCCCGGGCCAAGGCCACATTTGTTGACATGGAGATCTTTTCCGGAGCTGCTCTTCAAAGCCTTACGCGGCCCGACGGCGTGCTGTTTTTTGCGCATGCGTGCCTTTTAGAGACTGGAGTGGGTGGGCTGCCAAAGAGATGCAGTCAACAAATATTCAATGGCCTGGCAGAGGTGGTTGCGTGCCAAGCTTCTCCTCTGGGGGATGGTTTGTTGGTTTCTTGGTTTTCTCAGTTCTGTGAATTATTTTCAGTATCTTAGGGGTTATTTTGAGGGCCACACTGGGACGGAGGGAGATTGACACCTACAACTGCAACACCAAATGATTAAACCTTGGGTGGCACTCAGTCCCTGAACTTCCTTGCACCATCTTCTATCAGAAGTCACTACAAATCATGAAAATTCGAAAGTTTCCACCCTGGATCTTGTTTTGGTTTAGAATTGCAAAAGAAAAACGAACCTCTTGGCCTTCCAATGCTTGGGGTGCGATCTCGAGGATCAGATCTGGGGCGAATCTCCAGCCTCATGCGGAAGGAGAGCCAGGCCACGCATATGGAAGTTGTGGCCACCCTTCGTCCAGCCCGAAAATGAGAACCAAACCAACATCAACAGACCCAGACATGCAAATATGGCCGACATGACTGGTGGGTTTGGGTGGTGCATGGGGTGGCCGTGTTTACAGTCCCCATGGAGCGTTTGGGATAGCTCGGCCGCTCTTGCCCCCTGACTGACCTAGAAGCGATGGCCTCGAATAGAATTCCATCCATCACCGTTTCTTCACCAACCTTCCTTCACCAACCTTCCAATGCCCCCCGGTCCAGCCATGAAGAAAGACGGCTCGGGTCGAGGTCGGCCCGAGGTCGAGCCCTGCTGAAGCAGGTTGTAAAAGGGAACATCATATATTACAGGAAACCGGATACCAGGGGTTTGTACCCCAAGCTTATTGGTGTCCTGTAGATTGTTCGCTTTTCAACCTCGGAAGATTGGTTGCCTGTGGATTTGTCCTTTCAACCGCTTTCCCTGGGACGGTTGGAATGGGTCCCTTCTGCGAAAAATCAGCGCTCGTCCCTTCCGGTCGATGGGTCCTCCTGAAGACCTGATGAGTGACGATTGCTCCAAGAAGATCGAATAGAATATCTTAGAACAGTTATACAATACTATGTTATACTTATCTGTTATTCTAAGAATATCTGTTATACTATGTTATATATATTCTATGATATACTATGTTATACTCTAAGACTATCTGTTATGCTATGTTATACTTATACTCTACTGTCAATGTAGAACAGACCGGACGCCATGTCTACATTAACATTCTTGTATCACATGTTCTTCTAAAGTATACTGGATGATACATTACCATCCCTTACCAGGATAGTAACACATCTTTGTCTCCAGGCTCTGGGGGAGTTGATTCATCAACAGCATACATGAGCTGACTATCAGTAGCAGTAGCATCTGCTTAGCATTTTCACCTTTTCACTGCTAGTACTAGCACGTGTTTTCCGCATCATGTAGACGGTGTTCCTCAGCCATGGCTCTTCTGCAATCCTTCACCGATCCGCGAGATTGGTTTCTCCAGATAGATAGACCCAAGAACCCCTTTCTACGTGGTAACCCAACCTACTCATCGCGTGTATTCTGCGCTACCTTGTCCTCTCCTTCGCTTCGCCGCTTCGCTCATCTGACCAACCTCAGAGCTGCCTGCCGGGACCGCCCTCGTTCCGGCCTCGGCCTCGTTTTGGGAAGAAACCTCGCACAAGGCTCTCGTGCGGGGGAGCAAAAGTCGGGTGTTGCTCGGGCGTTTATCGAACTGTCCGAAGTCTGAAGCACCAGCAATCGTGGTTCATTTGAAAGAGGCTCTTGAGACATGATATATATGATATGAATATAAATGCAGTAGACGTGCAAGTGACAGTGAGAATACATTATATATGTGAATATATAATATAGGTATAATACTATACATGTATACAATACATTTCGATTCCACTGGTTCACCAAGAGAAATGGCTTCAACATCCAAAGCCCATCCGAGCAATATCAAACGAGAGGTCTTCGCATGTCTATCTGCAGGGCCCCTACTGTGGTCCTGCAGCGGTTTGGATGCCCAGATTAGACACATCATCTCAAACTCGCCACACGCTGCTAGCTGGTTGTGGTTTGTTCTTCAGCCGTTTGCCTAGCAGCCTTCACCGGGTGAGTCGAAAACGTGTCGCTCGCTCGCCGGAGGTACGGCTCTGGCAGGCGGCGGACTTCTGGCGTGCTGCATTTGTACGAGCAGAGGAGCAGAGCATGAGCTCCGCATCCAGAAGAAAGGATCATGCTCCAACCATGAAATACGGAATTTCTGAAGTGCCTTCAACATTTGCGATGATTTCAAGATTTCCAGTGCACAAGAGCGTT